GCACTCTGAAGAGCTGAGGCACAGGGCAGACAAGGTCAGGCATGGCTGTGAGAGGTGTTGGGAGTGGAAATGCCAGTCGGAATTTGTCCAGAGTGTATGGATCTTGCCTTGAATCAGATGGGGCAGCACAAAGCAGCCCCTCCTCGGTTATCACCCACCTCCTCTGCAGAGAGCTCTTTTCATAGGGCTAGCAATTCATATTGTGCACCCACTTCTCCTGATGGACAGAACAAGAAGTACGTGGAGCACGTTGCTGCATCTTTTATATGCCGGGTCCATCACTTAATGTCTCCCAGATAAAGCTGCCAGCCATGGACTTGCTGTAGAAAGATGTTTCCTCCTGGAGAACTGGTGTGTTTTGTTTTTAAATAAATTATGACAATGATGTGCTCCACCATATTTCCATTTGTACCGTAGCTACTAGGAAGCTTGGCACTCAATCACTGAGTCATCCACATTGGGGATGGATAGATGTAATTTTCCTTCCTTTTACCATATTTTAAACCTTTAATTTCAAGTTCAACAGCCTTATTGTATACTTGGCTTTTATATTGTAACGCACTACCTACCCCTTTTGGAAATTGGAGGAAATCCGAAACAGATGTAAGTCACTATTCATGTATGGGTCTCCTCCGGGGAGCAGATGTATGCTGTGACGGTGGTTGGGTGATGCCCTGCGGGCGTCCAGGCAGCTCAGCATGGAGTTTCCAGACTTCTCAATCAGTATGCAGTAGAGGAGGCTGTTTATAATGTGATTTAGAAATCCAATCTCATCTGGCTTTATGGAGTTTTGTTCTATTTAATATCAAGTGCTAAAATAGCAAGGCAGCCAAAAATATATTCAAGGAAATAGAATTTTTAATCATGAAACTGATCTCTGTGGGGAAATAGCTTTTATTTTGTCATAATAAGCTAGGCTGGCTACCAGAATTTGTAGAGCCATTTGCGTTGTAAATCAGGAAGGCCTGCCTGAAGATGGGGAGCATTAGGAGCGGCCATTCTTCCTCACATCTGCTTCCAAACATGAAGGCCTCTGGGTTGGGAGGGGGTTGCTCTTATGGGACTAGGGCACTGGGCTCACAGACCTGTATGTATTATTTAGCGAGGTTGATCTGTAGTTGAGTTGAAAGTGGCAGAGTCGTGTGGACGGCTGGTAGAGTCAAGCACATCTGGGTAGTCTGCTCCCAGACGGTTCTGTTGGTGTTGGCCCCAGGCTCACAGCTGGAAAAATGGTGCTTTGTCACTTAAAGCCCTTGACCCTCACTCTTCCCTCCCAATGCCTCCTTCATCCTTTCCTCCATCCTTCCCTTTTGTGAGTTTGGTGAGAGCACATTGGCCTCTTTAGATGCTGGAGGGCAGCAAACAAGATCAGACCACCCTTAGAGGTGACATGGGTTTGAGCTCTCGCTACTTACTCCTAGAGTGCCTGGTGTCAGACATCCCCTCTTGGGGCATAGAGGGCATTGTCCCTGAGTGCCCTCCAGGGAAGCCAGCCTTCCAGACAGGCAAGTCCTGGTCCCAGGGCTGTGGCACTGAGACCTCCCATGGCCCCTCCAGTGAGGCACAGGCATTCACCCATGGCTCTCCCCAGCTGCCTGCAGGTTTGGGTTTTTCTGGCTGGTTCATTGAGAGCTTACACAGGAATTATCGCCGGTCAGGGATGATGACCGCTTTCAGAGCCTAACCTTTGTTTTCCTTACCCATTGCCTGATTCCTGTAATTAGAAAGCAGAGATTGCTGTTTCAGCACTGTGTATGTTACTGTTTTTTAAGTGCTGCCTTTTACTTCTGTTAGTAAATTAGGTGTTCAGAGATGATATCACATACCAAACTTGCTGTCTTTAGCAAATTTACCGATGAACAGTTCTGGTTGGTGAACAGTAAATTTTAGAGATGTGGTTAATAGGAAGAATCATATAAAAATGATTATTTATTTGCTTCTTAGAATGAAGCCAGAGTTTTCTTTTCTTCTATCTTGTAGTCATTTATTCATCCATTCATTAAACAGTTTAGCACTTACTGTATAACAGGACCAGCTTTATATTCTTATGTAAATGCCTCTACTTACTACGGAAAATAATGCTTTTTCTCTGAGAGAGAAAAAAAGACCCATAATATGTAGTTAGGAAGTGATGCAACCTCTAGCCTTTGGCATAAATAATCAACATGGAAGAAACAAATCTGTTGCAAGTATGGTTGAGGTGAAATAAGCCCTAAGAGCTGGGATATCCACCCTTGCTCTGCTGTGGGGCTTCAAGCAGAGACTTGGGAGTAACCCATCATTCTTGGCCCTTTTTGGTGGGGTTCCCAACTGTAAGATTATATGGCCCAGGGTGGGGTGCTGGCTGCTGCTCCCAACACTCCTGGTCTGAGTGGTTTGTTAATGTTGGCACAGGTCCACTAGCTGGCTCTCTAGTGTTGTCATTGTCATAGCAACAAGGATGTTTCTATAACAGTCCAGATTGGGAGCCTGTAGGGTGGGAGGAATGTGGATGAGACTGCATTCATATTAGAATAATATAATTTGGCATTTTCACATTTTTAAGTATCTGTTGTTCAGGCTCTTCTTTCTTTTATCCTACAGTCCCCACCTTGAGAGAGAGAGAAAAAAACATCAATGATGAGAGAGAATCATTGATCGCTGCCTCCTGCTCGCCTCCTACTGGATATTGAGCCTGCAACCCAGGCATGTGGCCTGACAGGGAATCGAACTGTGACCTCCTGGTTCATAGGTTGAAACTCAACCACTGAGCCACACTGGCGAGGCCAAAAAATAATTTTCAAAGGAAAATATGGTAAGCCCCAATTCACATCATAAAGGTGACAGTAGGAAAGTCAATAAAGTCAGGCTGGTTTGAGGTTAAAGATTGTGAACACTGCAAAAATGATCAGTTCCAGAAACAGAACTGGAAAACTGACAGGCCCCATGGTGAGCTTGGTGTGTGTGGTGTGGCTACCCATTCAGGTCTGCTCAGCGGAAGGAGCAGTCACCAGGAACCTGTGTCTGCTCCTCCTCATATCTCCCCCTCCACCTCCCAGTCTGGAGATGCCCATGGAGTCACGTCCTACCCTTTCCTGTTGGTGGGTTCATCACTCACTCTGCATGCATATGCATGTGCGCATATGACCTTTCACATCTGCCAGAAGCCTTCAGAGAATCTGTCTTTTGACATTTAACAACTGACTCGAAGCTTGGCTCGGATTCAAATGCCTCTTCCCAGATTGGCCATGTTCATTTGCTCAGCTCATGTAAAAATGGCACGTTCTGGAAGGAAGCCTTGTGATGTTAAGGTGTTTTAAGGATAATAGTGGCTATAAAAAGACATTTATTTGTTATTTATTTTTCCTCACCAACTGATAGCCATTGATGATTCCTTGATGAGAAAGAAAAATTTCTGGAACCTATTGGGTTAGAAAAGTCTCAAAGCTAGAGGGGCCTTGGAGAGTTCTTTCTTTTAGAGTTGGGAAAACTGCGGCCCAGAGAAGAAGGTAGGTCTCATGCCAGAAATGTCCACAGGCATAGATTAATACTGGTGCTGTTGGAAATCCTAAAAAACGCCTTTGTGTATCAGAAATAAGATTTATTGGCACAGAAGTAAATTATCAGCATCTACCTGAACTGCTGTTGGCATGGTGCTATGTGCCCACACCTGTCCCTCTTCCTAGTGCTGAGTCTGGTGCCAGTGCACGCCCCGAGCCAGGCATCTTTAGAACTGAAATGACTTGGTGACAAGGAAGACTCTGGGAGGTGATAGCATGTTCGAGGCATTTCTTCCATGTAGTGGTCTTCACCTGGGCATCAGCTGTCCCGGTTGAAAGCCACCTCTCATTCATTCCTGCTCGCTCTCAGTTCACAAGTAAACAGGGCTGTTTGGACAACCCCTCATGCTTAATCTGAGCTTCTAGCAGAGGATGCTGGCCGTTGTGGTTTTGATAATGATCTCTAGACAGACCCAGGGTCAAACAGGGGGTTGTGACATTGTGGACATTTCCTGCAGGGCTGGCCAGGCAAGCTGGCTTTCTTGAAGGTTCCTCCTTTTTCTCCAAATGTGCTTGTGTGTGAAGGAAGGGGCTTGTGAGCGGGAGACACTCAACCTAGAGCAGCTCTCTCTTTCTGGAATTTTTCCTAACTGATTAATCACTCTGTATTTTAAACAGCTGTAGGTCATAGTTTACTCTCATCAATAAAGAGTCTTTCTCCTTAATTATTGCCCCAACTTTGACTAATATTACCAAATTAAATTCAAAATAAAAAGGAACCTGGGGATTGAATGGTTAAGCAAAATGTGGCACATACACAATGGAATGTCATTTAGCTGTGAAAAGGAAGGAGAGTCCGACACATGCTATAGCATGGGTGAACCTTGAGGACATTAAGTAAAATAAGTTAGAGAGAGAAGGACAGATACTGTATGATTCCACTGCTATGAGGTTTCTAGAGCAGTCAGATTCAGAGAAACAGAAAGTAGAAGGGTGGTTGCCAGGAGGTGGGGGGAGGAGGAAATGGGGAGTTGTTGTTTAGTGGGTACATAGTTTTTTTTTTTTGCAAGATGAAAAAATTCTAGAGATTGATTGCACAACAATGTGAATATATTTAACTCTACTGAACTGTACACTTGAAGATGATTGAGATGATTAATTTTAACTTATATATATTTACCGTAATTTAAACAGTAACAAAAATTAAAGAGACTAATGTGAGTAAAACAAAACAAAAATCCTTAATTCCTAGGTTGATGGATTCCTACTTTTATCAATTTGTTTTAGAGGTTACTGTGAATGCTACGTTGCATTTTTAACACCACCGATGGTATTTTCATTAATATTTTGACTTGTGGTAGCACAAAAACCATGCCCTTATGAAGACCTAATGAATGTACAAAAGTGAAAGCAGGTGCCTTGCTATGAAATAAACCCATTATTTGGAAACGTGTCTGTGATTAGCAAGGGGACCAAATAATTATATGCTATGTTGATGACATATTTACACTTGCTTTTTAGGTGAAGCCAAAAATCTTCCCACTTACCCGGGGCCAAACAAGATGCGAGATTGCTATTGCACCGTGAACCTGGACCAAGAGGAGGTTTTCAGGACCAAAATCGTGGAGAAATCACTCTGGTAATGTCTGCTCTTGCTGTATTGGATACCGATAAGTTTTATTCTGTATGGAAACTATCCTGAACACATATGGCATCTTGCCATCTTCTGTGTTGCTTAGTTTGCGTGAGAATTAGGAAATGTCCACATGGCTCTGCCTTCCAGGGCAGTTATAGCCAGAGCATCCATCCTCAGTGGCAAACTGATATTCCCCAGATGCTCGTGATGCCCAGGACTGGACAGCATTGGGAACAAAGCGCACATATGTGACTGTTTGTTTGCCTCCAAGACAATCTATAATAATAAAAGGGTAATACGCTAATTAGACTAGACGTGCTTCCAGGCGTCATTCCAGACATCCTTCCGGATGAAGCCAGGGCTGGAGGGAAGCAGCCTGTGTCCCGGGTGCCAGAGGGAAGCCAGTGCCGGCAGCCAGGGGAAGGAAGGCCTACTCTTGCATGAATTTTTGTGCATCGGGCCTCTAGTGTCTTATAAGAGATGGACTGGAAAGTGTATACTGCACCAGAAGAGTACAAATCAAGGATTTTGAGTGGGTAAATATTTGGAAAGCACTTTTCTTTTTTTACCACCTTCCTTTAAATTTATCTAGAGAGGCGTGCCCAAGATGGTCATAAAAGTAACTATTCACTGAGATAGGAGCCCTAGAAAACATTTATTGATAGAATTTGAGGAAGACAGGGTTCAGGTAAGAAAGAGCAGCATCTAACAGGTCTTAAGACTGAGATGTTTGCTGTATAATGAAAAACATTAGTGTTTCTCAACTTTAGCTTGCTTAAGAATCACTTGGAAGGTTTATTAAAAACAGATGTCTGCCCCAGGATGTCTGGGGTGGGGCTGTGATTTGCATATCTAACAACTTCCAGGAGCTTCTGCTGCTGGCCCTGGACCACACCCAGGGGGTAGGAAGTGATGGCAACTAAAAGTCACAGCAGTTACAGGGGGTGGGAAGTGAGAAACCAGAAATGCGAACAGTGAGACGGCAGAACATCTTGGTACATGTGTGTTAGCAGTTGGGGGATGGGTTAGTGGTTTGCAGTCTGGGGGAAGCACACCAAAGCCAGCAGTGGGGCCCTGATCGTGTTGTTTATATGAAGTGAAGAAGAATCCCTGTGCAGCCAGTGACTCCACCTTCGGGTTTCGAATTATGGGTTGTGTGGGTCCATCCAAACAGCTATTTTGAGTTTGAGAACATTTTTAGCAGATGAATTATATCCTTGCAGATTGCTGCTTCTAAGTGGGAACAAACAACACATTCCAATGACTTAGTGAATTTAATTTTTTGAAAACTGCAAAGGATCTCCTGCCCCTGAAACATGGAGACATTTCCTTCTCCATCTGCACCATTGCCACCAACACTGGCAAGGCTCCGAGCTATTACAGTTGTGTTATTTTAATGCGTACACCAGATTCTCTGGAATGCTTTCCTGAAGAAAAATGAAAAGTCTGAGGAATTTGTGAGAGGTAAAGTCTGGTTTTGGGTTGATGATAAGATGACACTGGGGATGGTGATGTTACTGAACCTTCAAGGGTTATTTCCATTTGCCTAATGTGAGAAAAACCCTTTCCGTGTTTAGTCAATGTTAGAGGCCCGTGGGTCATAGACTTGGAGGATTACTGTCAGTCTCTGTAAAGCGCTACTCTCCATAGGCTTGTGAATGAGGGTCTTTGGGAAGGGAATAGATTTGGGAACCTCTCTTTTAGGTGAGGTTGAGAAATGGGGACCATTGTCTTCAAAATATTTCAGGCAAATTGAGAAGTAGAAATCATGGTTTCTGGTTTTGGTGGCACTAGAAAATGTTTTTATGAAGCCAAAAGGGGAGGATGAGAGTTAAATAACGACAATGATTTACCTTTCTGGGAAACCAGCTGTAATCATCCAGAATCAGGTGTGAGCCCCTAAAATGCTGCCATAAGAAGCTAGTTAATTATAGTGAGTGCATGAGGTAATACTCCCTATTCATCAGAACTTCTAATCCCTCCACATACTATTCACACTTTTCTTACAGATAGTTTTAATAAACTTAGTTATTTTTGTTTATTAATTTATTCATTAGCTTAATGAATATTTATTGAGTGCTTATCTAATACTAGAGGCCCAGTACACGAAATTTGTGCGTGGGGGGGGGGTGTCCCTCAGCCCAGCCTGCACCCTCTCCAATCTGGGACCCCTCGAGGGTGGGATCGGGCCTAAATGGGCAGTCAGACAGCCCTCTCACAATCCAGAACTGCTGGCTCCCAACCGCTCGCCTGCCTCCCTGATTGCCCCTAACTGCTTCTGCCTGTCAGCCTGATGACCCCCTAACCACTCCCCTGCCAGCCTGATCGACACCTAACTGTTCCCCTGCCGGCCCGGTCGCCCCCAGCTGCCCTCCCCTGCAGGCCCAGTTGCCCCCAATTGCCCTCCTCTGCAGGCCCAGTCACCCCCAACGGCCCTCCCCTGCAGGCCCAGTCACTCCTAACTGCCCTCCCCTGCTGGCCCAGTCACCCCTAACTGCCCTCCCCTGCAGGCCTGGTCACCCCCTACTGCTTTCCCCTGCAGGCCTGGTTGCCCCCAACTGCCCTCCCCTGCTGGCCTGATCGCCCACAACTGCCCTCCCCTGCAGGCCATCTTGTGGCCACATGGGGGCAGCAATCTTTGACCACATGGGGGTGGCCATCTTGTGGGTTGGAGTGATGGTCAATTTGCATACTGGTCATGACTAATTAGCATATCAGGGATAATTAGCATATCCCTCTCTTATTATTGTGTTGGAGTAATGGTCAATTTGCATACTGGTTGTGACTAATTAGCATACCTGGTTGTGACTCTGAGGGCGTTGTGACCGATTTGCATGTTACCCTTTTACTAGTATAGATACCAGGTAAGGAGAGAGGTACTGTTAGCAGAAAGTTAAAACTGACAGCAAAGAGATAAATCTACACTAAATAATTACATAGTTTAAAAAATATTAGTATATGTGGCCATTTAGTATTGAAGCAAAAACCCTATTCCCACTGATGGACTTTGCAAGCTTGCAAACTAGTAGCCCCAAAGCTCTACTCTACAGTATAAGAAAAAAGACAAATGAACCCACTTTATAAAAGAAGTTAGCAAGGGGCTGAGAATCAAGATAATGGCATAGGTAAACACCAGTACTTGCAGCCTCCCACAACCACATCAAAATTACAACTAAAATACAGAGCAGCCATCATTCAGAACTGCCTGAAAGCTGGCTGAATAGAAGTACTACAATTAAAGAAGTAAAAAAGAAAGCACATGGAGACTGGTAGGAAGAGTGGAGGTGCTGAACGGGCTGGTCCCACTCCCATAGGAGGCCTCTGCAGCCAAGATATCCCACCCAATTGGGGTAGCTTTCTCCCAGACAGGAGTGCTTGCAGGGGTCATTGTTTCTATGCTGATACCTCCCCTGTTGCAGAGCAGACTGGCAGCCATATCTGAGTTTCCATCAGTGTGGCTCACACTGTTCACTCTGCCCTGGTGATTCCCTGAGACCCCGCCCCATCCAATTTGCAGTCTCACCCAAGCTATTTGCAGCAGCTTTTCCATATGAATGGCCTGTCCTGGCTCAGGCTTCAGACTTTCCTGAAATCTCTCAAATAAGTAGCAGTTGGCATCAGCATGCCCCATACCCATCAATAACAGGGATAAAATAGCTTGGCCTCGCCTGGGCACTTCCAAGGCCACCACAAGTAACAGCCATCTGCAGATTGCTCTGTAGCACCCGCTGGGTGGCCCCAGGCAGTGGCTGACTTTGCACCTCCCAGGAGGCCCCAGAGCCAGTGCACCTGGTAGACAGCTTCACTGAAGCCCAATTGAGGCATAGAGGTGTTTCCTGCACAGCAGCTCTTCCACTGTAGTCACAGCTGGTTCTCACAGCCAATTGGCCTGGAGATCAATTCCTCCCAGTGATGCCAACAGCAATCAAGGATCAACTACAACAAGACTGTGCACACAGCCCACATACGGGTGCACCTAGAGTGCCCAGCTCAGGTGACTGCAGAGGTTAAGCCACTGGGCCCTAGAGGACACCTACTACACAAGGCCACTCCGCCAACTCCAGGAGACATAGCAGCTCTACCTAATACATAAAAGCAAACACAGGGAAGCAGCAAAAATGGGGAGACAAAGAAACATGTCACAAATGAAAGACCAGAAGAAATCTCCAGAAAAAGAACTAAATGAAATGGAAGCAACAAAACTACTAGATACAGAGTTCAAAACAATGGTTATAAGTTTGCTCAAGGATCTTAATGAGAGCTTCAAGGGACTTAGTGAGACTTTCAAGGATCTTAGTGAGAATTTCAGACATGAAAAGGACCAGTCAGAAATTAAGCATATACTAACTGAAATAAAGAATAACTTACTGGCATTCAACAGTAGAGTAGAGCATTTTGAGAATCAAATCAACAATTTGGACTATGAGGAAGCAAAAACACCCAATCAGAAGAGCAAAAAGAAAAAGAATCCAAAAATATGAATATAGTGTAAGGAGTCTCTGGGACAACTTCAAGTGTACCAACATTTGCATTATGGGGTGCCAGAAGGAGAAGAGAGAAAGATATTGAAAACCTATTTGAAAAAATAATGACAGAAAACTTTCCCTACTTGGTGAAAGAAATGGACTTACAAGTCTAGGAAGTACAGAGTCCCAAACAAGAGGAACCCAAAGAGGCCCACACTAAGACACATCATAATTAAAATGCCAAGGGCAAAAGACAAAGAAAGAATCTTAAAAGCAGGAAGAGAAAAGCAGCTAGGAAGAAGGAGGAGGAAACAAAAAAAAGATATGAATAGTAAAATGGCAGTAAATACATATCTATCAACAATTGAATCTAAAAATCAAAATAAATGAATAAGGAATCTAATGAACAAAATAAACTGATGAATAAAATAGATCCTGGGGCATGGAAACATGGAACAGACTGACGAATCTGAGGGAAGGTGGGAGGAAGAGGTGAAAAGACATTAACCAAAGAATTTATATTCATATATGCATTAC